AAAAAAAAAAAAAAAAAAAACCAAAGTGGAGGTTATATGTCATGGGTCAGCAGACTACAGGCCAAATTCAGCCAGTGGCCTGTTTCCTTTCTTTTCTTTCCTTCTTTTTTTGTTACAGTCTGTCAGCAAAGAATGGTTTCTACATTTTTAAAGGGTTGTTTAAAAACAAAAAAGAATATGTAATAGAGTCCTCTGTGGCTCATTAATTTTAAAATGTTTACTCTCTGGTACTTTATGCAAAAGGGCTATCTCTGATAATATATGCTTATTTATGCATGTCTGTGCATTGAATGACTTTTGGAAGGATACACAAAAAATATGCTGCTGTTGGCAACAGGGGCTGGCCTTGTATTCTTTACCCTTTTGTCCAGTTGCAGTTTTTTTACTCTGTGTTCCCATATTACATATCCATAAAATTTTTTTTTTTTCATACAAAAAAAGATACTGGCCAGAGGAAACAGCTGAGTAAGTAGTCATTAGTCATTTAAGCCCCAGTTGACCAGAACGGTTGGTGGCCCAGGAGATGTGCCATGTGAGTCGGTGTGGTGTTGAGTCTTTTTTGTGCTCTGCCCTCAGGTGTTTGGAGACCATCTTTGAGGAACCCAAGGAACGAAATGGTACGCTAATCTCAATCAGCCAACAGAAGAGAAAACGAGTTCTAGAATTTCAGGATTTTACCGTCCCACGAAAGAGGAGAGCTCGTGGTAAGGTCAAGGTGGCAGGCAGCTTTACCAGGGCCCAGAAGGCAGCTCTGCAGAGTCGAGAGCTGGATGCTCTGTTGATAAAGAAACTAATGGAATTGGAGACCTTTTTTGCCAAGGAAGAGGAGGAGCAGGAGTGACCATCTGGTTGTTGAGAAGCAATTCGGTTTGGGGGTCTCGATTTTAGATTTTCCAGGCTCCTTGGAAGAGGTTGCCTAATTTTGCCCTATCGCCCAAACCAGTCAGAATGCAGTCCATGGATTTTTACCTATTTTGAGGTGCAACCTTTTTAGGAAATGGTGAAGGAGGGTCCTCTGCTTCTACTGCTGAGTACTGAACCTCAGGAATGCTCCCTTTCTCCTGGAAATGGTCCTGAATGACATCTGGCCTCCTCCCCTCACTCACCATCCTCAGGAGGAGGACACCGCACACGTTCAGTAACACTAGGATTCCAAGGACTCACAGCATTTGCACGTCTGTGTGAAAGTTCTGCGTTGTTTACGGTGGTGCTAGACCAAGATTATTTAGAGACGTGGCCTAGGGAGGGGGACCTGGCGTCCTGTCCTGTGTGGTCTCACCGGCTCATTTCAGTAGTTGAGGAAAGATGAGCTGTTGTGTTTCCTAATCCTTTGAGTCCGTCTGCCCAGAACTGTGTGTGTGTGTGTGTGTGTGTGTGTGTGTGGCTTCTTCCCATGATTTTCTCCCCTCTGTGACTGTGGGTCACTAGTGCCAGAGGAGCCCGTCCAGGCCCCATTCGAAGTAAGTTGCACTTTTTAATGTTGTGGTGTTGATTATTTTCATTTGTTTTATTTCCTTTTTTTTTTTTTTTGTATTATTGCTGCATGTTTGGAGCCTTTAAATGTGATTTTAAAACAAATTTTTTAAGACATCAAGGAGAAAGACAATACACGTCTTCAGAATATATGACAGGCATTTGACCCAGCATATCAGTGCATAGTATGGGACAATGGAGAGACATTTTCCCAACATGTGTTTCAAGCAGCCCCTTCCCCATGTCCACCTTCAGTGTAACCATTAGAGGGAGTCCTTTTTCATCTGGGTTCTCATTCTTGCTCACTAAGTTGATGTGTTTATTTTAATGATGGAAGTAAGAGCAGGTTTTCCTCCCAACCATTTAAAAAATATGAACGTTGGGTGTGGTCTTAATGGGTTTTATCTGAAGTGGTAGCATATAACAAAGTTGGGTACAACAGCTCAGGAGGCGGTGATGAAGTCCAGCCCAGAGTGTTCGCAGCTGTCAGAGCAACTTGCTCCAAAAGTGGGGAGTGAGGACGTGGTTCAGGCCCAGTGATGCATCCTTGCAGTGGGATCATGAAATTCCACCGCCAGCCCTCTCGGAGGACACCATCTTATTGGGGGGGCTCCTGTGTCAAATTGGAAATTTTCCTGGAAATTTTGTGGAGTGCCAGAGTTAGCGGAGTTCCTTCATCTGGGCCCGCGGGAGTCTGTGGGCAGAAGGATGCTGTATGGATCAGCCAGGCCCAGAGGTGTCATTCCTTTTCCACTTAACTCCTGTGTGCCCTTGCCCTGCTTCCCCCGACCTCCTTCCCTTGTGTTTTATCTTTTTTTCTCTCTTGCTCTCAAAACAAAAGTTCAGAGAACTAACATTCCTTGGCTGGTAAGTGAGATGCTACACCCAGCCTCAGGACACTGGTCACCTCTTCCCATTCTCCTAAGAGCCACTGCTGGGAAGCATCCACCCATGGAGACTGTCAGAACTCCAGAGATATTTTCAAAGCCAGTCTGTTAGGGAAGAGCAAGTGGTGCCGTCCTGGAGTGTGTCTCCTAGGGTTCCTTTGTCTCCCCATTTGTGAGTGGGTGGGGAGATGGGGCGGGGGTGGGGGTTCTCTATGTGCCTTTCCTTTGCAGGTTGACAGTCTATGCCGCACTGGAGCAGAAGAACTGACATGAGCAAGAAAAAAAATAAAAGTGCCACATCTGTCTTCTAGGCCCACTGCCTCAGACATAGCATTTAGTAAGTGAAATACATACCTGGTGACCCAAGGAGGCTTCTAAGGTCATGGCCAAATAGCATTAGAAGAGAGCCACACTTCCACACTGGCTCTGAATGATGTGAACTAGATTCCGTCGTTCTACATCCGCTTTGCCCAGACTGTGTAGACACGACCTGTGTTTCACCTCAGTACCTCTCCCTTCCTGGGACAGGGTCCTTAGACACTAAATGCTTCTCTCTGTCTTTTTGCCTAAAGGAGTGGGATTAGTAATCCATTGCACCCTCCAACAGAGATTTTTAGGGAGTGTTGCTGGACAGCGTGCAAACTCCCAGCAACTCAACAGAGCCCTGTTTGCCAGCTCCGTTGCCAGTGTAGATGAGTCAGCAGTGCGGCAGCCGTGTCATCCGGCAGACTGAGGTTGAGTGGGCACAGCTGTGGCATCACCACCGTTACAGAGACACAATTTCAAGTTCGCCCTTTATAGGCATGGCACTTGGAAGAGCCAGGAGCAGTGATGTGGAACGTTGGAGGCATGGAGGAGGTGGAGGCCTGGGCTCTGTCCTTGTCCTGGCCATGTGGGAGAGAAGCAGCTCTGAGGCGGCCCTGCCTATCCTTGAAATTCTTGGCCCGCCCCCTGACTAAGGGGCCTTCCCCTGCTCCCAAGTTAAGAAGGGGCCCCCATTGCAGACTTGAAATTGCTTGCCTGAAGTTGATACATCAAGTTCTAGCCGCGCTCAGCCACACCTGTCTTAGCATCCATTGTCGTCATTGGCCTGGCCAGCTGCAACGCTCTGTGGTCCTCGGAGCCTGTGGAAGCTGCCCACTATGGGAGGCGTTAGTCGGCCGCTGGCACCCCACCTGCCCAGAGCTACTGGAGGTCTGCTGCTGGGGGCTGGTACAGTTTCTGAGTATGGGGACTTCCCACCCCAAGTGGTGGGAACTTACAATTAACTATAATTTACTCAGCTATAACTCAACTCCAGAGGTTTAGTGTTTTTAATATGGGAAAGAGAGGAGAAATCTCAGGTCCAATCAGGGTTCTGCCCATCAGCTTTTCACTGAAACTTCAAATGTGGGTTGTTGTTTTTTTATCTTTCAGTTTATAGCTATATTTGCCCCTCATCTGCTCCCCACCCACTTTCCCCTTCTCTTTTGGTCACCTTTCCAGCTTTATTTCTCCATTAGTTTAAATTTACCTCATCACCTATTCAAGCAAATTATGTCCACTTTTTCTTAGTGACCTTACTCTAAGAGCTACAGCTGAGGGAGGTACAGTGGAAAGACATGTAGCGTTTGCCTTACTTGGAGCCTGAAGAGCTTAGAAACTCATGCTGTGAATCCCAAAACTCAGCGCTCCTTCAAGAGCTGTGAAAATCATGACACTTTGTCACAGTTTTGCCTGAAAGGGTCTTTTGCATGGGCACCAGAGCCAACCTGAGGTAAATTCCAGATCCTACCCTCTGGGCATGATCCCTTCCCCCAGGGCTCACTCCCTGCCCACCAGACCGAGAGCATGTAGAGGATGCGGGACCGGGGCAGCAGAGCCAAGGCTTTGGTGCAGCCTAATGGAACGCACAGCCAGCGCTCCGTCCCCAGGCTGGGATTCCATCTCATAATACCATGTATGGTAAGATCCACGGAAGACCAACTTTTAGTCAGTGATACTTTTCTCCCATCACCTGAGGGAGGAGTATGCAGTTGGTGCTTTCTTAAATTCCCTTGTTTTGTTTTTTGTTTTGTTTCGGGAAGCTTTTCCCCTGGTATCATGGAAAGGACCTTTTAAACACCACGTTGTGGGTGGCTGTATCCAAAGTCTAAATAATTGGCCAGAGGTATGGAGTAGCCTTTCCTGGATTCATGCAAGGGAAGAGCTCCTTACCACAACTGCACTCATTAATGTAAACAGCTGGCTTCGGAGGAAGGCTTAGTTTTATGAAAATCAAAGTTTTATATTATCTAACCACAAATTGAGCAGCAAACGCTAATTTGATTATAAAGTGAGGGTCCCCATATAGCCCGCCATCTAGCACAGTATATACTCAGATTTGATGGCTTGTTCGTTGTGTGTCTTCATGAGCCCCTCCCTGGTGCTGAATTGGATCTGAATTCTTGGCGAGAGACCTCAGCATCTCCTTGGGCAGGTCTGGGCCAGTAAATAGCTGCCTGAAGTGTTTATATATTATCATGGTCAATAGTTCAGTGAAATTTGTACATTTTTGGTAACATTGGCATACAAGATGCCCCTGCATTTCCTTTTCTGTTTGGTAGTTTGTGACTCTAAAATTCCCACTGTTATGTGTGTTAATTTATGAAAATAAATTTTTTTTTTTGAAAACCTTTCAAATAACTCTCAAGGCTGTTATCCTT